CTGGCTGGGGAATTCTGGGAGTTGAAGTCCACCCCTCTTAAAGTTGCCGAGGTTGAGAAACACCGCAGTTATTCTAACCTAACCCCAGTCCCATCTACGGAAAATGCAGCACAGCATCCTGGTTATTTTCATCTCTGTTTCCATGGCACCATCAGAGCTTGCGCACTCCATCCGCGAGCCCCATAGCTCCTTCCAAGTGGCGCTGAGCCATCAAGCTGCAGTTTATTATTCATGGCTGACTCATCCCGATGGGAACTTGGGGTCCCCCCAGGGACAGGCACTTAGGAAGACGAGATGATGTTTCAGCACCAAAAATGCAGCCAGGAAGCAATCCGGGTGGCAAATGGGGTTTAATTTATTACATCCAAAAAAAAAAAAAAAACCCGGAAAGAAAGGGAGAAACGTGGAAAATAGGAGGGCGTCAACATGGAGCAGTGAATCCACCTATTCCAGCTGAGGTTCAACTCCCCTCTAAATAAGGCAGCAACAAAAGGCCCTTCCCCAAGGTGTGGGGCAGGGGGCAGGGATGGGGCTCTGGCAGTAAGGGTTGCCCCGTCCTTCCCAGCCCCAGCGGGAGGCACTGCAGGTGGGGAGTGGGGGGTGAGGACCCCAGACCCTGCAAGAAGCTGGGGAAAGGAGTGTGTGCACTGTGGGTCATCCCCAGCAGGTCCAGCTCTGGCCAACGGGAGCCTGCATCTCCATTTCTGGCCAGCTAGAGACCAACGCAGTCCGTGTTTGGCTGTTCCTTCTATTCTCCGGCCGCTCAATTCTGGGGCGTGCCCAGGTTTCCTGCTCCGCACATGGGTTCCAGCTGTTCTTTGGTCTCTTTGCTGAGGTCGTTCTCGAGCTCCCCGGCGTCCATCTTGGGGTACACGACAACGCAGAGCTTCTGCCCTACCCGAGTGACGCCATCTGAAAGAAAACAGGAGGGAGTAGAGAGAACAGCCCCACCTTCAGCCCACCCCTCCCCTCCTGGCAGTGCAGGACTCACCAATAAACGTGTTGAAGGCAGGGGGCTTGTTCTCCCAGTGGACCCCCATGAAGTAGACGGGGACCCCCGTCAACATGATGGCCAGGCCAATGCCGCAAACCAGCGGCTCCGACCACAAGCTGAAGACCAAGAGAAACGCCCAGAAGAGCAGGTAGATGATGGGGAAGAACAGGCTCACCTGCGGAGAAGAGAAGTGGATTGAGCCTAAGACCAAAACGCCAGGAAAGAGGTAGAAGGAGGGCACTGATCTAGACCAGCAGCGCCGAGAGGAGCTGGTTGCACCCAAAGTCCCAGTTTCTCTGTAACTCCATCCAAAAAGACCGGGGAGTTGAAGTCCACCCACCTTGCCCTTCAGGACAAGGAAGAGTCAGGCAATAAAGCAGAGGTGTGGGGTAAGGAAGGACACCCACCCCCTTCGCTAGACCTCTCCAGAGCTTTGTCTTTGAAAATTCTCCTTGCTTCCTGCCCAACAGTGTTCCTCAACCTCAGCAATTTTAAGAAGTGTGGATTTCAACTCCCAGAATCCCCCAGCCATGCTGCCTGGGGGATGCTGGGAGTTGAAGTCCACAGATACTGGCTGGGGAATTCTGGGAGCTGAAGTCCACACCTCTTAATGTTGCTGAGGTTGAGAAACCCTGCTCCACAGCCACGCACTGTTCCATATGTTTTGTTTTCTTCTTTACACAGCTCACTTTGCTTTTTTCCAGACTCATCAACTTTCTCCAACCTTGCCTTTCTCTTGCTCAGGGGCCTATTGAGTCAGTATTTCTCGGTATTTCTCAGTATTCTGTATTCAGCACCCATTCATTCTTCTTGCCTTCTTATTCCTAAATGCCCCACTCCCACTGCATTCAGCTTGTACATTTTTCCTGACATACCTAAATCCCATGGTCATATACACACATACGTTTTTGACATTCATTCTTCGGAATAGGCCGTGTCCTAACCACTATTTTCCTGCCTTCATTGCACATCTTAAAGTTCCTTCACTCATTTTCCCATCTTCGGTGAATATTTTCCCAAGGTAGGCAAATTTCATCTATTTGTTTTAGTTTTTCACTTTTGATATCAAATATAGCTACTTTGGTCTTTGATACGTTAATTTTCAGATCTATACTCTTCGTTGCAGCATACAATCCGTCCTAACATTCACTGCAAATCATTTGGATTTGCCCAGCCAACAGCATGGCTCATCAGTCTATAAAAGTACATGCACATCCGCGTTCCCAACCAACACACTGCTAATGCCACCCCAAGCATTCTTTTTGCATTTATCCATGAACACTTTAAGTAGCTAAAGTGACATCAGATATCATTATCCTACTCTCTGTTGAATCACTTGTAAAGGTTTCAATTTTTTCTCCTGCATGCTTGCGCCCATCATTTACTACTCGGCACATTTAGCAACCCTTTCTCTGAAACAGCAATCGTGCAATAAACTTCCCCACATTCCCATATTTCTCAGGGACTCGTTGAAGAATAAAAACTTGATCTGCCTGTACCCCGCTTGGCATCAACCTGCATTGCGCTTCTCCAATTTTGCTCATTCTCACGATCAGAATCCTGAAAGCATCTCTCTAGCCACCTTAGAAAGCAAACTCCCTGTAGTTTTTTGCAGCTTCTCATTGCGCAGAGCAGCGTTTCTCAAACTTGGCAACTTTAAGAGGTGTGGATTTCAACATGGCTGGCTAGGGAATTCTAGGAGTTGAAGTCCACACCTCTTAAAGTTGCCAAATTTGAGAAACACTGGCATAGAAGAACAGTGCCAGCATCCTTCCAGTCATCAAATGCAGATTTGAGTTGAGTTGATTATTTTATGCCATTCTGGCTCATTCCAGCTATTATCCTATACGTCCAACCGAAGCTTTACTCCAGTTTACTCCAAGCGTCTTCCCCATTATTCTGTGCAAGCCAGGATCTCTAATCTTAGAGATGACCTTGCAAGCCCGTGCAGGGGGATCATGCAACAGAAACTTGGATGGGTAACAATCGGTGTATTAAAATTAAAAACCAGATTTGGATTTTTTTTACAGTGCAATCATATGTTTATTCAGAAATATATCTCACCACCTTCAATAAAGCTCACTTCCAACTTACTATTTTGGAGAGGGCTAAATCCTGTTTTAGTAATTTGGTTTCAAAATGTAAAAACAAATTAAATTCAACCTCCCAAAGCTAAACCTGCAATTCTCGCTCAAAGCGTTGGACTGAAGTCTACTTTTCTATGTAAAATTAAGCATAGCCAAAGAAGAAGAACTTTTGAGGTCAACTATTATCAATATGACTCTGAAAGTCCTAGAATGTTTTCTGCAGGGTATAAATTATTAACTTTTAGACTCTGTCCACCACCCTAAAAAGGCATTTATTTTCCATGTTTTGAAGAAATATCGCTTTAACTGACTGGCTTCTTTGTTTCTGAGAAATTATGGGCTGTTCGTGTTCATGGTTGTGATCTGGTTTAACGTCTTTATGTGCGAATAAAGGAAAAGCCAAATAGAAGTCTTTCATTTTACAATTTCTGGTTGAAGCAGATAGAAATTCTATCACGTAGAAGGGCCGTAGGTGGAAAAATTGGGGGAGTGTGAGGTTTCAAAGGTCTTGTTGAATTGCAAACAGGTAAGCTTCATTCCCTATTATTGTCAACTCTTGGCACGCAGGCTGATTCAGAAAAATGTGTGTTCAAGGCTGAGAAATTGATGGCAGCCTGCTCTGCATGGTCCCCAAGGAAAGCCACTTTGGTGCAGAAATGAAGAATGAATGGTCAAGCGATCAAAAACAGGGCCATGTCTTTGGAGGGGCCTTACCTTGATTGGACGAGGTCGATGAGGTTCGCGCCAGCGAAGCACAACCTGTCCAGCCACTGTCACCCCGTAGAAGAGGTAATTGATGAAACCTACATAATTGATCAGCGTATATATGTCACTGGTGACCAGCATAAGCAAAGTGGAAAGGCACTGCCAAAGATGAAGTAAGGAAAATTAGCCAACGGGCACCCTCGACGAACAAATCTTCATAATTCTCCTGCAACAGCCCACCACACCTGGCTTGGATCCCACCCGTATCCACCCGTCAGATCTCCCCACCCTTATTTCTCTGCCGATGACTCACAGTGAAGAGGAGGGCAGGTATCGGAGTGCACCTTCGCACGTGAATCATTGCCAGGACGCTGGGCAAATGCCCTTCCCGGGCACCAGCAAAAAAGAGTCTGGAGAAGAGGAAAAATAACATCAGAAAAGAATAATACCAAGCGGGAACAGATTATCGGTGTGTTTTAATCAGCACCGGGGAAGGTGTTGGGGCTAGCTCTGTGTGTTGAGCACAGCTTACTCCTTCCCTGTTTTAACTGAAATAATTTAAGGACAACCCCCTCCCTAGGCTGCTCGCAAAGATAAAATCATAAAAACAGCCAGCATCAACAATTAAGCATTGCCTCGGGGTACTAAAATCAGAGATCCAGTTACATTTCGTAACCCAGCTCAGAGCGATCAATCTTTCAGGGAAAGGCTGTGGAGAATAAATAGGTCTTTCCTAAAACGAGGGAGGGCGGGTGGCATGCCCCAGAGGGCAATATGTTTTGCAAGCGTGCGGCCGGTTTAGAACACGCGCCTTGCTACCCCACAGCAGTTTTTAAATAAGGCGGAAGGAAATGCCGTTAGTGATACGGGGAGTCTTAATGTCACCCCTACTTATTTCCATGAAATCAAATTTGGTTGCACTGCTTTGAAGGTTGGAATGGGGCGGGGGGGGGACAACCAATTTTAAGAGCTGCCTTTATCTGCATTCAAGTGCTTACACAGATCAGTCAGTGTCCAGTTCTGGGCTTCCCCGTTCAAAAGCAACAGTGACGCTTTGGAGGAGCCCCCCCCCCAAAGGTCTTCAGATCACCAAAGGGTTGTCACGCAGAAGAGTCAGTGGGTTTATTCTCTGTTGCCCCAAAGGACAGGGCCAGAACCAGCAGATTTTTATAAAGTTTAGGCTTCCACATGAAGGGGTCAATTCTTTGCTAGAAGTCTTCAGAGTCTGGATGATTGTCTATCAGAGA